AAGATATTGAACCTAAACATTTATTTTTGAAAAAGCAATATATACTAATAATGTCCACCTAATTTGGTTGCAGGTAGCGATTGTGTGAACAAGCTGAAGACATTTTCAAAGTCAATGACACTCAAAAGAAAGTATGCAACTCTGGATAGCAATTCAATCAAGAGGATCCGCTCATGAATTAGAATAAAGGTTCTACAAAAAAAAATTAAAAAAATCAAAGATACAAATGGGACTTTGAAAATCTATAATTTTAAAAGTTTCAGAAAAGTACCCTTAAAGTTTGTTGACTTAAAATGAGTTCAAAGGCAAAGGTAGCAAGTGATTCTCTTGTGGATCTTCAACATAAAATGAGGCGGTTTAATGCAGAGAATGCTAAAGATAGCATGTGATATTTAAATGGAAGGACAAAGTTTAATGAGTGTTTTGGAATTTATATGGGATATTGAAATTTTCATGCGTGAATATATGTACTCACACATTAGGTATTGCAAAGGCTTAGTCAAACTTCTAATGCCATGAGTTTGGATTTACATCAACATCATCAAACATTATTTTAAGGATTATTCTTGTGACAATATTTGATTGATTGATCACGTTATAGCTGCAACCAGTATACAATTACCCAATCAATCACTAAATGTAATTTCGTTGTTCAATTGTTGAATTTTTAGCTTATGTCTATATATTTGATCCATTGCTTGCCTTCAATAATTTAATAACAAATCTTTCCCTAAATAAAATTATAAATTTATAATAAATAATAAAAAATTTACCACGTACATTGCACGTGCAATCCAACTAGTACATATATATATGTGTGTGTGAGTGTGTGTCTGTGTATTATTAGTTATGTTTAGAAATTTTACATTGGATTGTGATAATGTATCCGTATATCTTGAAGGCACAAATCTCTGGTTAGTCTTCCTCACTGGTTTTCTCTTTTTTGGAATATAATCTTGAAGTGCAACTTCTTTAGATTTTTCTATGCAAAAGACAATATTATGAAGTTGTGATGATAATTTAGCAACATAAGTATGCATTTAAATACTCCTGCATACCTGAAGCCTCATTTGCTTTAGGGGATCTTAGTCCTTTTGATGTAGCCATATGTATAACTTTAGAATCATTTAAAACATATTACTAGTAAAGAAATTTGCATATTAGTAAAGTAGCAATTTGCTTGAATTGAAAATTCATGTAATGTAACTGAACCATACCTTGTAAATTGACCCCACATTTGCAGCAAATATTATAGATTCCTTGGCATGTGCATCACTATGAAAAATTCATTAAATATATCTTTTACAACTTTTGCTCCTCCCCAACTGAAGTTGTCCCTAATGCCTCACAAAAATCATGTGAAGCTTGAGCCTCCTATCTATATCATACACAAAAAGTTTGTGTAGGTGTCCCCAGTTGTCCTCCTGCATCATGTGAAACATCTTCGCACTCCTCCAGCGGATTTTAAAACCCCCTCATTTTGAACCCATCTACTTCTAGCTGCTGGTGGCCTAGTTCTACCAAGGAGTTGTATTGAGATGGAATTTATCCTAGCTGTGTTGATGATTCCTCAGCATTATCTTTAGTAGATGGCTTCCTTTTTTTTAGATATCTCAACTCTTTCATTAGGACGAGCTCTTATATTATGTTTAGATTTTTTGCAGTTTGAGCATATATTCACTTGTCCATATCTTCTAGCTTGATCTTGATTCTTCAATTCATCAGCTCCTTTCCTCATTTATGTTTTGGTCTTCCTACTTTTCTTTTAAAAGGTGGATCTAAGTTTCTTTTTCATACCCAATTTTTAGCCAATAAGTTGAATCAGAAATAGGGTTTCTTTCACCTTTATAAGCAACTCTATACTTGTTGATCTTGAAGCAATTAAGGAACACAAAGTATGTCTGTAAAATCCCATTCTTTACAATCGCATGTCCTATCCTTTGTGTTAATAGTTAGATAACTAAACCTTCATCCACCTGAAATTTTCCCAACCCAGATTGACAATACACACACGTCTCCCTAGATCTCCTATCCAGCTCATTTAACTTGGACACAATCTTAGGACTAACATCACCATGCCAATTTTCAGCAATTATTTTTTTATTGACAAAACTTTTCTATAACAACCTTGTAATCATCTCCATCAAAGTAATTATAGGATTGTCTCTAGCTTCTAGTATGAACTTTCAAATATTATTCCAAATATTATTAATAATTAGATCACATTTTACCTCAGTTGTGAAGTATGATATGCACCTTTTGGTTTTAAGCTTGTTTAAATAATCATATGCCCCCTGATTCATCTTTTTAATTGACTCAATTACTTCTAGATGCTTACTTGTGGTGTATAAGGATGCTGCCTTCCAAAAAAAATTTCAAATCACCCTCTTTGAATCTATCTCTGAAATTAGCATACAAATGCCTACCATAAAATCTATGATGAGCTTCTGGCACTAGTTTCCTAAACGTCTCCGGTAATCCCTTCCAATATTAAACAAATAATAAACATAAATCACAAGAGGCCAATATGTTTAAATTGACAAAAATTGCATTATTTATAAAGTGTACATTTTGACTATCACTTATGTACATCCATCCATGTTGTCTCTGGTCACCGATTGCCTCCAAAGATTCCCCATAAATCAACTCCATGTCTTCTCACATTTATTATGAACAACTCCAATAGCTACAGGATACATCTAATTATTCACATCTCTACTCATCGCCCTAAGCAAAGCACCACCTCCTAATCCCTTCAAGAAGCATCCATCAAATCCTATGACAGGCCTACATCCCATTTTAAACTCTCTAATTTGAGCTGCATATGCAATAAAAAAGCCAAAGAATGTATTTAGCTCGCCCTCAATCTTTCTTGTAGTGTTCAACCTTACAACACTAATAAGGTTTTTTTTTTGTAGAATCATATTTTCATATTCCTAAAGTGTTGGGCATATTGTTCTTTGTAGCATCCTTCACTAATATTCATAGCTATCCTCTTTGCTCTATACACCTTATAATCCTTTACATTAAGCATAAGGTCACAGATTATTTTTTTATTTGAAAAGAATCAATTGGCCAATTTGGATTATCTTTAATCTGTAGCAGGCATTGCTTTACAAAGCCAGGTACAAGTAGCTTGAACATTTTTAGACACTTTCTCACAAGTGTGCACCATGAAGAGACTTGAGTCGTCACTTGCTTTGATCTGAAATCCATGAATCCCAACATCTCCAAGTACATCCTTCCTTCTTGTATTTGGCTGATATTCTCTTACCCTCATTCTTTTTAACACAAAATCAAACCCTCTAATAATAGCAGCTTTCCTCAGAAGATTTCTAAACTCATTTGGATTATAAAATTGCATGCCAATGTACAGTTTTGGATCCTCCATATCTCTTTCTTCTCTAATTTGATGCCTTTGATTTTCGAAAGTTCTTGAATCACCCTTGTCTAAGGAAAGAAGACTCAGAAGTTCCTCAATTGCCTCAATGTCAGAGTCACCATCTCTTGTAAGCTCTGAATCATGACCAATTAACTTTTGAAATTCTTCTTGATCCCCTTCATCTTCATTAACTTCATTGTATTTATTCTCTTCAATGTTGTTAATTGGAGCTTTAGACGTCACAGCAATTTTAAAATCCTCCATATCATTCTCTTTACAAGGAATCAAATGGCCAATATCATTCTTTCTAGATGAAATCCAATCTTCATCACTATCATTTTCCTCATCACTGTCCCCAAACAAAATCCTATATCATCATTTACTTTCTATTTTCCCTTATTTGCATTTCCCCATTCCTGTACACCCTTCACTGTGACTGTATTATCTGCTTTGTTTACATCTACCCCTTGGACAATGTTACAGAAGACGCTAGGCAAACTAGGAGTTTGAGCGAGCGCCTAGCGCCTAGACCCCTGGGCTGCCTAGGCGTTTGACTAATTTTAAATTATTTAATTATAATAATTGATAAAAATATGTATTAAATTCATATAAATTTTCAAAAAAAGATAGCAATCTTAGTTCCACAATAAATCATGCATACTTAGATACTAAATAGCCAAAATAATAATTAACAAGGCTAGAGTCTAAGATGTTTTTTTTTTAATTACAATAATTGATAATGAATGTCAATGTTATAGAAAGTTTAGATGCCGGACTGGTGTCTAGGCGAATTTCTTTCTTCATTTAAGTGGTGGTCGATGAGGTTTTGCTGAAGGTCGGAGGAGGTAGTGGAGGTGTTCATATTTGGAGGTTAATGGAGTTTGGAGGACGTGTAGGCTACAACACATAAAATCACAACCAAGACCTACATGGTGCAATCCACGTAAGCAGACAATGCTCCCCTAAACGCTCGTAAAATCTAGGTGGCAGCCTAAATACAGCCTAGGCACTAGGCGCTAGTTAGGCGGCCTAAGTACCGCCTAGGCCTAGGCATACGCCTAAGCGGACTAGGCGAAGGTTTTTTAAAACAGTGCCCTTGGGTAATGCAACCATTATCTACATCATCTTCAACATCCACAACATCATTGCTACTTACATTATCTGCCATCTACATAGAGAAAAAAAAGTAAATTTTTTTTATAAAAACCCAAAAAATCCATAAAAGTACATCAAATAAAATCAAGTAACTAGTGGGAAATCAGTAAATTCAATAGACCCGTTATTTTTTCACACATTTCAACAATAATATTTCATTTTGACATTATTTCGAAAAAAAAAATTCAACTTTACAACATAATGGAATTCCACAAAATGCTCTAACTTAACACAATCCATAAAAAAATACAGTGCAATTCTACTAAATGTGATCAAAAGATTTGATTTTTCTTCCAATTTTTAAATTTTATTTCAATTCATAATTTTAAAAAAAAAATCCCAAATTACTTCTAACACAACAGTTTCTTCCCCAATTCTAACCAATGTCCTAAGTTCCAAGAGTAGCCATCCGCTACATTGTCAATAACTAAAACAATTACAACTAATTGATAAAATTCATTACCCAAGGTTTCGTTGGAGAGCAAAGGTCAGCGAACTTATTGAGATCGCAGGAACCACGAGGGTGGAGGTAATGCACGGAACCGTTAACGTTAAGAGGTGAGCAACAGAGCCGGCGATCTCAAGAGCGGAGAAGCCGATTGTGATGAGGGCAGTGAAATTAGGGAATGAACCGGGGGGATATTTCTTTTTAAGGAGTGGGGTTCATTTAATTGGAGGGTATTTTTTGTCAAAATGGGTATTTTTAACCGTGTTAACATGATCCTGGTGGTGGATAACTTAGGATATTAATGTACTACTTTTTGCGACATTATTTTTACAATTTTGAATATATAAATCTAATGTTACTTTACTAAATAGTGGAAAGTAAATGTAGGGAATGGAAGTGAAGATATAAAATGTTATTTGAGAGTTTAGTAAAGAAAACTGAAGTAAATTTGTTTTACTTTATTTGGGAGTTCTAATAAAGAGGAGTGAAGTGAAGTGAATATGTATAAAGTTACATAAAAATACCCTTACATATATATTGGATGTGAGTATATCTTAGCTATTGATTTTAATGTCATAGGGGTATAATTGTCAAGGTTTTAAATATCGGTTATAAGGGGTTTATCGGACGGTCAAAAACCTTATCGGATAGCGGAAATCGGGGATATATCGGGGATAAGTAGTAATTATCGGAGTGATATAGTGGATGGTGTGTATATATATATATATATATATATATATATATATATATATAACATAATAACTAAAAATGTAATCTAACCATGCTTAATGAAATATGAACATACCAAAATGTAAATTATCATGTTTAGAATCACTAACCAATTGTAGAGAGCGAAACTTGCATCTCGACCACACGATGAAACCATTCGATTGCATAGCCTTGGAAAAATATAATGTTAGTCAAAATGGAATAGTAAACAAGCAAAGAATAAGATAACATCAAGAATGAAAAACCATCTAGGCATCTACATAAGTATTGTGTAATCATGAGATTTAATTATAAACTAACTAAGTTGATATTTAGTAGTTATAAGCTATATTAATATCCATAAACAAAAGCTAATCAACAATTAACCAAGTTCTAAAATCAACAAATAGTTCATAATTCATAAACATTCAAATAGCAAATCCAAAAGAAAGCAAAAGCAAAGATAACTAAATTAATCTTCATCGAAGCTGAACGTTGGAATATTATCCATTCCCTCATCCGAATTAGACTCCGAAGATTCCATGTCTTCCTCCTCATCTTCCAAAGGCTCCTTTCCCTTTCCCTTTGAGGAAGATTCCCCGGACTTTTTCTTTCTTTTATATTGTTTTGTTCTAACACTCTTCCTCTTTTTAGGATTAGCTCCAATGAGATCTCCATATTGCCTCAAAGTAAAAGATTCCCCCGCAAACACTTCATCATCGCTCAAATCATGATGACCTCCTCTCTTCTTTGTAGTTATCAACCACTCGGAGGACCTTTCTTCATCATCAAAGGCAATTAAAGGATCTATATCCTTGTTGGAATGCTTATTCTTCAACCTTGCATTGAACTTGACGTAGACCAAATCTTGTAATTTCCGATGCGTTAGTCTATTCCTCTTTTTTGTATAAATCTACAAATTAGAATCACAAAGAAGGACAAATTAGTCTTAAATGTGATCCAATATGATTTAAAGTTAAAAAGAGCCATTACCATCTCGACGGTACTCCAATTCCTCTCACATGCCGAAGAGCTAGTTGTTAAGCTCAAAATTCTCATTGCCATCATTCTCAACTCTGAAGCGTCAGTGTCAAAAAGTTTCCACCATATAACTAGTTAAGTCATAGTTGCAAACAATTAGTAACTTGTAACATTCAAACAAGAATTAGTCAAATCACCAAATTAATTTGAATGAAAAATGAATAAATACCCGGATTATTATTAGGCTTTTTTGCTTCTCTCTTTGCAAGTTCTCTACCGAATGATCCTCTTTGGTGTTGATAATCAAAGAGTTGGTCTCCAATCTTGCCAAGCATGTCACCATCATCTGGATAGAATTTATTCATACAATCAACAAGGCAACTCAAGAAACTTCCATCCTTTTCAATCTCCATAAGATTTGGATAGTAGAAATAAGGATTTAAATAATATCCCGCTTTATGGAGTGGTTCTTTAAGCTTGGCATCAAATCTCTTATCAATAATCTTCTCTATAAGAAGATACTTCTTCTCTTCATCATGAAAAGCGTCTTTGATCTCCTCCTTAGCCTTCAACATGTCTCCATACACAAACCCCATTGAGGGGATTTTATCATCATCTACTCTCCTTAGAACCTTAACCAAAGGAGAAAAAACTCTTAAGGGCAAGATCAACGTTGTCCCAAAACTTGTTGCTATGAATGATCTCAGTAACCTACAAATAGTAAAAAAACAACATAATAATTAGTAATACAATAGAATTATATATTCTAAAGCAAATGAATACTTTTAAATTGTATCGTACATTTTCCCCCGCTTCTTTTGTTGAAAGCTCGCATTCCATCCATTCATTACAAACATTTGCTTTAGCACTTTCTTTTTATCTCTCAATGACTCCAAAATAAGGAATGTCGTAGCAAAATGTGTCACCCCGGGTCTTATAAGGTCCCCTCATGCAAATTCTCTCATCACATGAAGAGATCTCGTGTGGTTATAGATGTACATCGACACGGTTCTTCCCATTGCAATTGCACTCCGAATAGATCTTATTTTGGCTATATCGGCTAACATCAAACTAATAGTGTGTGCCACACAAGTTGCCCAAAATATATTTGGCTTCTTAATTGCTAAGCTTTTTTGCGGCTAACATGTTATTTGAAGCTCCATCTATGACAATTTGCACAACATTCTGCGCTCCCAACTCTTCAATAGCTTTATCCACATATTTGCATATATAATTCGCATCATGCTTGTCGCCTGATGCATCACATGAACCCAAAAAATGTTGTTCCTCCATTTGAATGCACAACTATATTCATAATACTTCTCATCTTCTGATCACTCCAAGCAGTCTGTCCATTATTGGAAGCACCCGTTAAGTGAGCAACTCTTCTTAAATTTTTCAACGATCTCCCTTGTCTCATCCACCTCTCTCTGCAGAATAGTCTCCCTCAATTTATGTAGTGTTGGAGCATCCAAGAAGGCTCCAAACTTTCCAATAGCCTATACCACTTGTATGAAAGAAGGAATACTTGCGGTATTAAAAGGGATGTCGGCTTCATAGAACCATCTCCCAATGTATCTATTCACATCATCTCTTGGCTTCTTCCTATACTTGTTGTCCATCACTGGTTGTTTCATTTTTAATACTTGCTCGGCCGACTCCTCATGAGAGCGGCCCGCAAAAGCGTCCATTGGCCCTTTCGTCTTGAAGGAGGATGATGATGAGCTTCTCTGACTCTGAGTAGATGTGGTCACATTGCCTTCATATCCCTCTTCCTCCCCTATATGAACGTCATCGAGTAAATCCTGCATCTTCAACTCCTTTGCACCTTTATTCTTCTTGACACTATCAATGATCTCATTAACTTTTTTCTTCACATCTTAGAGGACCTCCTCACACAGCAAACAATTCCATTTGATTCCAGTGTTTGAACCGGCTTATGCCTCCACACATAGACTGCCCACAAAACTTGCAACGAACCTTTAAAGCATCATTACCAACCCGCTCACCATATGCCCAACAAGAATCTTTACCGGCTAGCTTTAGTAGTTTATTAGACGCTTGGCCTTCAGAAGACATTGTCCAATCAATATTTAAGATATAGTGAATTGTGAACACAAGTTTGAAAATAAAATAGCAAACACAATTACACAATTGTATATTTATTTTATTTATTTATCACGTCATAAAATTTTATGCTTAACACCAGTCAGTTCTATTTTGTTGCAGACTTGAGATCAAAATCACATCAAGATTTCAAGGAATGAAGCAAGGAACAGAGGAAGACAACTTAAAATAGCAATTGTAAACTATTTGCAGATTCAAGTTGTAAAACTAATCAATATTAGTCGCATTGAAGAGTGAACATTGATTCGACGATGTAGGCGTCTAAAAATACCTATAGGTGTCTACACATAACTCGAGACGAAGAGAAGGTGATGCACGTCATCATCCGAGACAAAAAGGATTATCCAAGTGCCCGTCGCACTTGTCGGTCAGCTCCAAATGCCGTAAAGAAGCTAATGAGCGCATGAAACAAGTTAGCAAAGCGTACAAGTCAACAAGACAACCAAATATGCAAAACGGTAGAAAGTACAAGTCCGAGAAAAGTCAAAAATGCTATAAAAAATACCTCAAAGGTGACCCACATACTTTCCAGGCACCACGAGATGACCTGCATACTTTCCGGACATCACAAGGTGACCCGCACAAATGATTAGACTTTCAACTAGGATACGATTCTAATCTGAAAAGCTCAAAACATAAAAGTTGTAGGCCTCTTCATCAGCTTTCCAACTCATCTTTAACCAGCTCAATCCGAGGTCGGACGGGAGTGTTAAGACCAAAATATCGAAGGTATCGCAAATGAGTGCGGGTTACTCCAGAGTGACCCGCACACTTGTGGATCACCTCAAAAGAATTGATATTTCTACCCTGACCCACATCTAATCTAAAAAGCTCAAAACATAAAAGTTGTGGGTCTCTTCGTCAGCTTTCCAATGCATCTTGAATTACATTAATCTGAGGTCGTATGAGAGAGTTAAGGCCAAAATACTGAAAGCATGACCTGCTTCGAATCTGAAAAAACTCAAAACATATAAGTTGTAGATCTCTTCGTAAGATTTCCAACGCATCTTGAATCAGCTTAATCCGAGGTCGGACGAAAGAGTTAAGATCAAAATACCGAAGGTGTCTCAAAGTGACCCGCACAGGTACGGGTCACCCCAAAGTGACCCGCACAGGTGCGGGTCACATTGACATGATCCGCGCCCCAGTGCCCGAAAACAAGTATTTTGATGATTTTGCGGGATTTTTCGTTCCAGAGCATCCCAACTGCTGTGATATCATCCCCACACGTGTTTAGGTCATTGTCAACTGAAGATAGGGTCAAATCATTTGTTCTTATCCAAATACCCTTCATCCGAGACCCTATAAATACAAGCCTAAGGCCTTCTTTCTCAGGGGAGGGAATCTTATCAAGAGGGCGAGGTGCTGCTGGATTGAGGAGTCAAAGGAGCACGAATT